CTTCCCCTTCCCCCCCTCCCCTCCCCCTTCCCCTCCCCGGCCCCCCCCCTTCCCGGCGCTGGTTAAGGTCCGCGGTGGTGTCCCTGGCTCAGCCGTGTGTCCGGTGCGGGAGACCCATTTCGGAGGCGGCGCCGCTGACCAGCCTGCCTCAGGGTAAGGGAGGGAGTGTTCGGAGGGGGGGAGAGCTGGACGGGTGAGCCTGGAAGACCCAGTGGATGGGTGGGATGTGGGTGGGGATGAGGAGGTGGGGTCGGGTAGAAGAGAGCGGCTTCAGGTGCTCAGCCTGGCTGGCTTACCCGGCGTTGCATTTGCCGGACCTTCACTCCGCCACCTCCAGGAGCACCCCGGCCTCCGCCCTCTTACCTCTACCTTTCGGAATCACACCTGTCGACATCGCCTTTGCCAACACTCCCGGCCTTGAGTGGGTCCGCGGTTTCTCTTTCCTGTATTCCTATGGCCCCCCTTTTGCCCTCCCGACCGCCCCCCCGGCCGCCCCCCCGAACCCTGCCGCTTTTCCCCCAGGTGGTGCCCTGCCCCCCTTCTACCTCTTCCCCACGGGCTGTGTCTACCACGTGGCCTGCTGCGCGGCGGAAGTGACGGAGCTGGTGGCGCCGCAGCAGCGGAAGAGGGTAGGTGATGAGTGTATGTATGTAGGTATGTCAGTGTGTGGGGGCATGTAAGTATTGTGAGTTTGCAGGCTGGGGGCTCGCGCGTGTGAATGTGTGTTTCGGAACGGAGCTAGGCGAGGAGGAAGATGGGCGGATGCCCCCTACGAAGCATCAAGATCGCAAAGCAGGAGTGGTGGTGTGCCGGAGTGTGTGAAAAACGACTTAAGATAGCAACCTGAAGTACGATATGATTTCCTTCCGTGTCCACCTGGGTTGTCCGCCTGGTTGGTGACGAAACGTTTCGTCGGACTGGTCGATAAGTCGGGACACGTAACACAGCACGTACTTTTCACTGCATGTGTACGCATATATGATGTGTAATGTGTGAAACAGGGGGGTGTATCTTCGCCCGTGGCAGCTACCCTGCGAAACCCTGCCTTCCCCGGCATTTCGGGGCACCCTCATCCAGTCACCCTAGTCAACTTCTCAGTGGATCGCTCAGGTTCCGCACCCACCACCAGCATCTGCCGGGTCGACAGCGGCCCAACTCCGTTCCTGGTCGGCTTGCAGGTTAACTTTATCCCAGGTCACCACTGTCCATCAACTAGGGGCGCAATGCCTTCCACCATCGGAAGGACTTTTGATCCTAATGGGTATCGATCCCGGGATCTCCCGGGGGCAATGGTCGCGCCTTACCAGTAGTGCCAAACCCTAGTATATATGTGTGTTATGTATTTGTGTCAATAGCTCCTACCTTTTGCTATCACACACACGAGCATCATTACCACCAGCAGCCTCCTGCTGGCGCTGCCCGTGTTCTTATTTATTGTCCATATGATCCATTTTCGCACTTTCCCGAAGCTGCTTGCCAGGAGTTGCAACCTGCTGGGGCTCGTCCAAAGCCCGTCAAAGGAGCTGAGGGCGCTTTGAGAACTTACACGGATATATCTATTCCTTTCGCCTCGTCGCCTGCCTGTGTGGCTCGAGTGACCCTCGTCTTGACCCTCGTCTGCCCCTCATGCTCTTGCGGCCGCCGTGGAATTTGCATATGCATATATGTACGTCCTGTGTACTGGTGTACGTATGTCCATATGTATGTATGTCGGCGCAGATCCACACGCTCATGGCGCGGCTCTCCCGTGTCAAGCCCGGCGCCACCATTGCTCCCGCGTACGGCGGTGCGCCCGCAGCTGACGTATCCTCCCTTCAGGAGGCGCTGGTCGCGGAGATCGGTCGGGAGGACCCGCGGAATGGGGAGCTGACAGTGCGGCTGCTGGAGGCGCCCTTCGTGTTCGAGACGGACCGGGCGGAGGCGGAGTCCTGGGCCGTGTGAGGCAGGGGAACGGAAATAGGAGGAGGAGGCGGGAGGAGGACGGAGGAGGAGGAGGCGGAGGGAGGAGGAGGTGGAGGGAGGAGGAGGGAGGAGGAGGAGGAGGCGGAGGGGGGTTTCTGGCGTTGATGGGGAGTGCACACACGCGACGTGACGTGTGATATTGCGTGTGGTATGCTAGCGGGGCAGGTCGACGTGCCGATTCGGGTTTGGTCGGCTGCAGGTAATCGAGGCGGAGATGGGCCTCTGTGTGGTTCGGGTGCTGCGGCTAGCGGGGTGGCGTTTATGTGGAGGGGGGAGGGGGGGAAGGAGAGAATGCGCCGGTGCAAGAAGGGGGATTGGGAATACGTACGTGGGAATACTTGGCTAGGGTATGGGGGGGAGGAGAGGGGCTGGAGGGGGGTTCTACCTAGTCCCTAGTTCGAGTTATGTTATTCCCTTTCCCGCGTTGACTGTGACCCGTTGAAGGCGGTGTTGGTTGGTCGGGATGAGGATTGTGGACGCCTGCGAAGATTTTTGCTGGGTTACCAAGTTATTAACCAGTTGGCAGCATAGGGTTTATCAGTTAGTAATTCCTAGTTAGTGAGCAGATGGGTGGCTACGTACGCATGCGGCAGGATGGCGACGGCACCATGGCAGTGCATGAACGCCTGGCCGAATGGTGTTACGCAGGTTAAACCCCGGGTTGTTATAGGCCACCCAAAGGCTTTCGCACCCCATTTTCGGCAAATGCTGGGCGGGAGGATATTGGCATGAAACAATAAGTCCAGCAACGAAGGCCATCGAAACGCGTGGTGGGCGCATGTATTGATTTGTGTTACATGTACGCGCGGCACTGACACCAACACCCTGTCAGGCATTCGTACTCATTTAGTACGACAGTTGGACCTTAGTTTGGCGTGATAACCTGCACGTCCAGCGGGGTTGCAGGCATCATCATCATCATCATCATCATCATCACCATCTTCATCATCATCATCTTCATGATCATGCCATATCCCATGCTATCCCGCGCTGCACGCCGCATGTGTTGACATTTCTGTGGGTTGGCCTGCTGCATGTGACATTGCGACGCGGCAGGCAGGGACCGAGCAACGTAAAGGCCTAGTGTCTGTCGTCACTACCGCGCACTCACTACGTGCGAACAGCCAAGAACGGAAGGCCTTAAGACTGGTCGAGGCTCAAGACCAGATGACTACTGCCCATCCACTTGACGCAGGCTGGCTGGATCGGCTGCCCGGACGGGTCCGTATGCGGCCTGCAGGCAGCCAGCATCATGCCGACGTAGCTATTGACGACATACGTCCGTGGGGTTGTATGCGTGTACGGGCAGTACGTATCCAATGCTCGCTGCCTGACGACGGCAGATTGGCGAAATGGACTTGGGGGGAAAGCATTGAAGTAGAAGTGCTTGCATCCGCAAGCAGGCAGGCAGGAAGTACTTGATGAGTGTATGATTAGGAGCGGCAGCAGTAGGGGCTCCAGGAGACCTGTTGCGGGTAACTTCCATCCGTTGCTGATGACCGAAACCCGTAAGTTCAACATCAGGGCATATCTTTCAAATAGTTGCACATGCATGCGTCTACGTATGTGTGTATTCATGGATGAGTTGATGTTCGAGCTACGACCCGCGATGGCAAGCAAGGGTAAGCCGCCTGTCTGCCGCATGCCCGCATTCACTCCAAAAGCTATAGAAGACAACAAACGTATTTTGGCTAGGTTCGTTTCCAGCAATCCACACTTGAATTCCACTAACAGAAGCCCATGCAAGAAGAAAGCACGTAGTCACCCACTCAACCACTGTCAAGTATAATATAGCGTGGACAAAAAAGGTCGCTTGTGCGACTTCGAGTTTCAGATTTCTTAGACACTTGGTTGGTTATTAAATTAGGAATAGCTAGCGGCGACATCGCAAACACGGACTTACATCACGACGTTAACATATACGTACGACACCTGCTACTGACAACCCGAAGTAGCCCGATTCCTAGCCACATACGCCGTTTGTACATACATGTACGAGCTTGCTGAAGCTTGTAACATCCATCGATCCATCCATCCACAGCCACATGCACCGTTCCGACGGCCGGGGATAGGTACGTATGTAGGCCGGCACGCAAACGTGGGTGAAATCAGATAAGGGACTTAACAGATGGATTTTCACAGTCCACCGATCCATGCACACGTGCGTACGTACGCACCACGCAGGGCACAGCTAGCAGGTACGAATAGGAAAAGGCTTTGCATCGGTTCACACATAGATACAGCTATCACATATCAGGTAATTAAACGTCTAAATACAGTAATATTCGAGACATTTTGCCTAGCGGTTTAATCACTTGGAATTAAAACCATCGATGTGGATTGATTACAAGGCGTAGGCTGCTTGACTCGTCGCGATGAGGCCGAGGAGGACGCACACGAGGACGGCGATCGTGGGTGCGGCGGCTACCCGGGCGCCCGAGGAAGTCTGGCTTCTGAGGACAACGGTGGCGTTGGTTACATTCCTGATGAGGTTACCTGCGGGGAGCAAGAAAGGGCGCGTCCTTTGACGATCCAGGCGAGCAAGGAAGCGTATTGCAGCAGCCGGAAGGATTTCGTTGAGGAATGTGAGCGCCCAAACTATCCTTGTAAAGCTATATCCAGACAAAACACCGTTTATATATCGTACATGAAGGACGAAAACGCCATGAGCATTCGGCGAGGCTGGGCAAACGAAAAACCGAATCCCTAAGTTACAGTTACAGTTACAGTGTCCGCGTAAGTGCGGATGGGTCCGTCAAAGCCGGGGACGCCATTTAGGAAACATTTGTAGACATAGTAGACCTATCCATCACCGCCTGGTCCGCCTATTCGCCGGGTTGTCACTCAAGCAAGAACCCTTAACGATAAGTGATCCGTCGCGGGCACTACTGCTAGTGCTCGCTCACTAGTTGGGGGAACACTCGAGCCATCGTAACCCGGAGGGGAACTGTTGCTGCCGACGGATGGCTGCGAAGGGGGAAGGGCCAAGCTTGGAGGGCGTTGCAGCGTCGATGCATCTACGTACATACAGACACAACACACATACAGTTAGTTACGGAGGAGGGGCAGCAGGTCTATGTCGTCGGTAATACCATTATTAGGCACTTGCCGATGTCTCTATTGTATGTTCTACCTGTATGTATGTACCAATGCGTCAATCAACTGTTCGATATGATCTATATATATGTGACAACTTGTTATCGTCCGGACAAAGTATGGTGTAATAACCTATTTCAATTTGTAAGCCTCCTGGGACACGCACGACGCTGTATATGCAGAAGAGAAAATGATGGTTCCAGACACGGCAGAATTTGCCAAGGCGTGGCATAGTCGTTGTCCCTGGAAGCTTGCAGGATCTATCCCGATAACCAGTGAGAAGCTGCCCTCGACAGTGTAACAAGTAACACCCCCATGCCGCTAGACGGTGATAGTGACTCGGTTATAGTGACTTATGAGCTGACGTCGATACTGTTGATGGGTGCTGAACCCGTAAAAGTCACTAATGACTTCGCGGAAGTCAACACAGGTGACGACCAGAAGGATGACGGTGCTCAGGAACAACGGGTAGTGCTAGTGAGCACAGGCGAAACTAGACCCCCTACTCGAACAGAAACGCGCGATGTTGTATCCATACCACGGGTGGTCAGCGGGGGCGCTTGGCTTCCTGCCGGCTCCACCGGAGACGACGGCGTGTTGCTCGAAGGTGGCTGCGGAACGGAGCCTGCATTCCAGCAAAAATGCTAAGTCAATCACCACCTTATGACTACCTCGTGCTGCTGCTGCTGAATCCGCAACTTCCCCTCAAACGCAGCATCGGACTGCACACATGCATGCACGCATGCATGGCAGCCTCTAGCTACCGCCCAACAAAGAAGGCCCATCACGTGATGCAGTCCTCGGGCGCATGGTGCCAGAGTATGCAAGGGATTCAACTGACAACAGGAACGGGCATTAAGCTCAATATCAAGAGCTCGCTCATCATTCAGGGACGGCGTGTGTTTATGCTTGCTTACCCAGGAAAAATGGTGGCGAGCTGCCAAGGAGTTGCGCCTTGGGCGAGGGTGGCGCAGCAAGGATCTCGGGTTGAGATCCGGGGTAAACGGGCGGAGGTGAAGATAGTGGGGATAGAACTGCAGCCAAGCAACAGCAAGAAAAGTAGGGATGTGTGTGCACGTAATAAGTCGCATGGCAGGTAGGTTGATCGTCCGGACGGAACCGGACTGCGGAACCTCCCCTCCTGGATTAGGCCATCTATCTATTATATATCTAGGTCAGACAAATGACAATATCTATCCGCCCCCAAATCATGCCCCACGCAAGGCTTATAACGCACGAGGCAACAGCATACACCGACACTCTACCTCATGCCTCAACACTTGAATCACAACATACACGCATATACACCTCCTTTGATTAATGACACGCGGTGAAGCGACGGCAGGAGGAAATTATCTGGGATGTCGGAAGCGATGGCGGATAGCTGGGAGGGCTCGCAGGCCGTGGCTGAGAGCTTCTGCGCACGGTTGGTATCTGCAAGCCTCCCAGCTATTCGCCATTGCTTCCGACATCTCAATTGACCTCCTCCTGCCGTCGCGTCGCCGCCCACGCGCTATTGGGCGTCAGTACTGGTTGAGCGTAGCAGGTTGGAAGAGGACCCCTCGTGCACACGTATATATTTCCCGTCATAAGAGGAGACAAAATTCTGGTCCAAGCTACAGTGCTTTACTGAGGATCACGCAGGATGTTGTACAGGTAAACGGAGACATGCATCGCATGCATGTGCCGTATGTTTTGCATCAGCAACGCCGTCAGCAGTACTGCTGATCTCCGCACTCACTCGCTGCCGGGATAAGTGCGAGCGGCGGAGCTACAGCAGAAGAGGCCTGAGGAGGCGACGGCGGCGACGGCGGCGGCGGCGGCGGGTAGCTGGGAGCGCCCACGAGCTTGAGCTGGATGCCTCCTGCGCGCATTCAGTACAGATAGGCGATCCATGGAGGCAACCCCCTTTCCTCGGTTTCTGTCGAATACCCTACGGTTCCTCCCCAGTGCAGAGGGTGCAGAGGTCTTCGTCGACCCACTGCCCCAAGTAAATTACGAAGCAGCACACCGGCAGCCGGCAGTAGCTGGCCGAAACAACGGGGCTCATCACGCACGCATCCACGTGTGGGACCCTAACAAAGCTATGCCGGCAGGCAATGCCGTTATTACCCTGCCTCATGCAGCATGTATACCATCTTCCCCTGCTGCTGGTTGCTGAGGGGTCGCACTATCACCTGCTGATGGCACAACCCATCAGCGGCACGCGCGAGCTTGATTCGATGCGTGAAAAGCAAGCAGGCAAGCGGGGTTTCTCGGATGGCGCGGAACTCGCTGACTTACCATAGCCGGGTGACGCGGGAGGGGCCGCGATTGAAGTCGCAAACATGCCGCATAGCAAGAGGGCTACCATCCTTCTGACGACCTGCGCCGCCCTTGGCGATGATGACCTCATGGTAAACATCGTGAATTAATCAATCTGCTGGATAATAGTATATGACAAATGGGAAATATGTGATAACTTTAATTTTCTTTCACAAAATGCCCGATAGCTCAAATTTGTTTGTACCAGCTATATATATACCGACTGTGGGCGTGGATGGGACGATGATGATATGAGGTTTCTCCATAGCCATTCGCCGCAGCTTCTGACAATTCTTGCCTCGGCGGCGCCTGCTGCTGCCTCGGTTGATACACCCCGTGCGTGCATGTATGTCTGTCGGCTGCTGACGGTTGATTCGTTCGACGTGGGATAGCAAGTGCCTCGATATTATTTTCCGACTACAATGCAACAATAGAACAACACCTGCATGCGCACAAAAAAAGCGGCGCGAGCGTCTGTAACTGGCTGCTGCTCTGTAGGTTGTGTCGTCGTCGTCGTAGTAGTAGAGTTGGACTACTACTGCCCGCTGCTGCAGTGCAGGTCCCGTTCTTGCATAGCATCGAACATGCAAACCGCTAAGAATGCGCTTGGTATAGTTGATTGTTGAACACGGCCTTGCATGTGCATTTGAAGATGCACGGCGCTTGCTTGCAGACTCTTGCAGCGGCGGTTGCGCTTGGTTGAACTCACTCTATGTAGCCATGTTGCACGCACATTCTAGGCAGGGTTGCCTCTACACGCAGCACAAGGCTTCAAGGCAGTGCTAAAATGCAGTTTAATGCCGCAGCTATCGGCGTGCATGAAAGTGCGCAAAAGGGTGGCGATCCGGCCATATCGCCTGTGCGGCGGATGGAACTGTCTCACGCGGCACAAATTTCGAAAACGTGGCACCAATGGTAGACACTTCGTCCCTCAGCAGGGCAGAATAAAATCCGCCTCGCCCCTCGCTCGCCCGCGCAGTGTGACGACTGCTGACTCTTGACGTATGATCCCTTACGCCTAATTGCGTCTGCTGCTGTTGCTTCCTTTCCTCTCACTTTGTTTCGGTTCAATCTGTACGTAGCGCTTTAATGCATCCCTCTTGCCAACCTTTTTTACTCGCACCCGCTGTATTGTTAATGTATACTGTTCCACGAGTGGAACAACTGCTGCGTGTTCTCGACACCCGCAGGCGATGTGTGATATAGCTGACGGCATGAACTTGGCGATCGCCTTGGCGTAGACGCTGCTGCCTATTGTGGCTGGCTGCCTCATATAATAACGCACCTTCGGTTGGATGTGTTAACTGGTGCCCGCTGTGCATGCACCCCTGCCAGGAGCGAGACTGACGGCCGGAAGGAACAATGGAGGGCGGCAGGGGAGCATGCAGGCCCCCGTGTACGCAACAAGCAAGGAATGCGATATGATGTATGCGACATAGGTTATACATACAGTGCCGCGCGGCTGCATTGCTTACCGCTACTTGGTAACGTCCACTTGAGTCCACTGCATGAGTTCACTTGAGTTCACTGTGTGTGTGGGGGGGGGGAGAGACGACGCCGGCCCATCGGTAAGCAGCCGAAAGCACGCTCGTATGCTTGTATGTATGTATGTACGTGCATGGCGGCAATCGCGTGCACCTTTCTCGCGCGTTACAATGACCCGCAGCTTGCTTGCACTCGGGTAGTGTGCACATTTACCTTCATGTTACATCTCTTATTACGCTCGTCAGGAAAGAGCAGCGCGCGCATCATCAACATAAGGGTTTTTACTACTTCTAACTGGTAGATGCGTTAGATGCGCTAGCTACGTATCGGCCTTTTTACTTGGGACAGCAGCAGTTGCCGGTCCGGCGGCTCTTGGGAAGCAAGCGAAAGCAGCCTTTCGCGAGCTACGTAGCTACAGAACAATCGATGTTACCTCATATATAAAATAAACCTACAATATTTTAGCATAAACAACAGACTTATCCCCCAACGATGGGAGCTGACGACCAACTCGATATACAGCTAAACAAGCAACTAAACAAGGAATCAAACCGCTCTATGCAGGCTAAGCGGGCGGAGGGCTATTCAAGAATTGAAACTCACTCCCAGATGATCCTCTTTTGATAGCTGCTGATGTTATTTCGACAAGTGCCTTGCCCGCTGGCAACTCCGCCATGTGTGTATGCGGCATTTAGGCATTCACGAGTCTGGAGCCCACTACCTATAACCACACCACACACATTTAGGCGAACACTTACTTCTTCCACCAATCCAAATCGCTTCATTCATCCATATCCTTGCAGTAATAAAACTATATTTTTTATATGTACACACATCTCCGTACGCCAGTTTGCAAAAGGTTAAGTTCATTCGATGCGGGGTCCTGGGGACGGCACGAAGCCATTCGGTTTTTGCACCTATCTATCTATCTATCTATCTGCACACGTCCAGGCAGTGCACGCAGTTTGCCACCTGGAATGCACCCAGCGCTACGTCAGTTGGTAGGCTAGGCCCCAAAAGAAGCCCCAGCAGCCAAGGCCATGGGGGCCAGGGTGGGAAGTCAAGTAGCACCCTGCATTGCTTGGCCTCGTCCGCGGCCGCTCGTAGAATGAGTAAAGAAGCTATAAGAGCTATACAGCACGCACTGCGCGTCCTCCCCCCAAGGATACATTCGCGCGTGCGATCCTTGAGCTCTATTACACGAGCAATCGAATGAAACACGGTGGGAACGAAGCGCAAAATAAAAATATACCGTAACGGTCCTCTACTGGACATGTATTATTACCTATGATTGTTGCCGCTGGCAATCGACATGCCGCCGTGCGCGCGTGCATGTCTGTGTGTTTAAAAGGATGCAGCAGCAGGCACATCAGCGCACCACCAGCAGGCGGCACGACCGCACCTCCCTGATGAGAACCAGGCCGCGGAAACACACCTAACATGACTCCCTCAGCAATACGTGGGCCGTACTTATTATGGCCCAGAGACTCGCGCTTACCTACCTACCCACTACCGGATGGCGCGTTTCTCGTTCCTCCTGATCGCGCGACTGGACCATCTCGCTGTCCGCCACGGTGAGCCCCCGCAGCCGGGCACCGGAAACCTCAATTAGTCTGAATAATGCCTGATTGATTAGCCTGAATCATGCCGTACGCACGTAGATACCGCACCGGAAACAACGGCCAAACAAGCAAGCAAGCGCGCATGAAGATGGTAAAGAATAGTGAACGCGCCGTACGCAGCCAGCTTGCTAATATTGTGTTTCTCACAGCCGTCGGCCTACCAAGCTAACTTGATTTGTCTACCAAAGCTAATTACCTGGTTACTTTGGACACACATAAGCCGTCCTGCTGTCCGCACTCTCGTCCCGCGGCACACTAAAAAGTATACACAGGCATAATACGCCTTTATTGGTACCCTCGCTCGTTATAAATCATCCCGTCGCCCTCGCTCCCCGACAACACCTTGCTTTTACAAACACTCAAACACGCTTACTGCGGCAGTTAACGGACCACAGTGAGGAAGCGGAAGCGCCTTGCTGAAGGGAAAGCGCACTCCGGGACTCCTCCATAGACCTCACGATCCCTTACTTAGCTGCTGGTTTATTTATTTCCGGTCACCTCCCCGGCGACTTCTAAACGTAAGCGACCGACATGGCCTAATGCAGACCGCGATACTCGATGAAACCCTACAAATACTTTATGCTCCGAACGCGCAGTATGCCAGCCAGCCAGCCAGTCAGCCAAAGAACAATTGTGTAGGCCAGCCCCCTGCTAAGCCTCGCTCGCACACGTGGTACGAGATGTACGTAGCTACGTACGCTTCTACGGATACATATCTGCTACTGCTCAGGCTACCTTGTTGATCGAGTAGTAAGAAGGCGGCATAAAGCTTTAGCCCGCGATGTTTGCCCCATCGTCATGCCGTCATCGTCTGCGAACGTGCAAAATGCTGCTAACAGAAACAAAAAAAATGTTTGTAAGGTGTACCTGTCGCCTTTCTGGATGAGGCCTGATGACATTGAATTCAGCACAAAAATAGGGTTTGGCACTACTGGTAAGGCGCGACCATTGCCCCCGGGAGATCCCGAGATCGATACCCATTGGGGTCAAAGTCCTTCCGGTGGTGGAAGGCATTGCGCCCCTAGTTGATGGACGATGGTGACCTGGGATAAAGTTAATCTGCGAGCCGACCAGGAACGGAGTTGGGCCGCTGTCGACCCGGCAGATTCCGCTGGATGCTGGCGGTGGGTGCGGAACCTGAGCAACCCACTGAGAAGTTGACTAGGGTGACTGGATGAGGGTGCCCCGATATACCGGGGAAGGCAGGGTTTCGCAGGGTAGTTGCCACGGGCGAAAATACACCCCCCTGTTTCACACATCATACATGTATGCATACATGCATACATGCACCATCGGGGCCCATTCGTCAGGCTTTCAATACTCCATATGAACCCATCGGACAGCTTCATGCGATCTCATGACGCGCAACATTCATTACCTACCTCACGCTGGCGGTTAGCAGTATTATGACTTCAAGGTAGCTGGCTGGGCGGTGGCTTTGGTGGGCTGGGTGGTGGGCTGGGCGGCTTGGGCGGCTTGGGCGGCTTGGGCGGACTCTTAGGCGATGGCGGCTTTGGCTGGGGGGAGGGTGAACGGGTCGGTGGCGGCAGGTATGGCGGCGGCGGCGGTGGTGGCGGTAGGGGGCTTGGCGATGGAGGACTGGGAAGTGGTGGTGATGGGCGTGGAGACGGGGGCTTGGGTGGAGGGCTTGGCGGCTTGGGAGGCTTAGGGCTTGGTCGTGGCGGGGGACTGGGCCGCGGGGGCGTCGGCGACGGATTTGGCGACGGCGGACTTGGCGGCGGCGGGCTCGGCGGCGGCGGGCTTGGTGGCGGCGGGCTTGGCGGCGGCGGCTTGGGAGGTGCCACGGGTTGTGATTCTATGAACTCGACGGAAGGGCATTCCTCTGCGGAGGACTGATAGCGGCAGAGGTGCACTCTGAGAGTGTCGAGTGCAGCCCAGGAACCGCCGTAAACCGATAACTTGTAGGCGGTCAGGTTTCTTCGGCTCATCGGTGGGGCAGTTGCGAGATAGGAGATCTTGCGGTCGCTGTAAACCCAGCTGACAGGGTAGCCGTTGTCCTGCGGGCGGGGGAGCGAACACAGCGAGCCCATCTTTTTGTCCTTAGAAGGGGGAGAGGTGGCCGGCGCCAACGTGCGCATGGCAGTAATAGAGCAAAGATGGCGCAGCCTCGCCATATGTAAAAATAATGTGTAGTTTAGGTAGTTGCAGCCAAGTACGTAAGGTTGGCGGCGTGTGAGGAGCGAGAACGAGCGAAATGGACCGGAGAGGTAGCTAGGATTGTAAATGGACCGGTGCACGGACCCACTATCACCATGCACTCTGCTGCTTTGTGTTTTACTCCGGACCTCAATGACACCAAGACCCCGGTGAGCATGTGAGAGAGTGTCCGTCCGACTGACACCAACCATATTCTGTTCTATATTACAGTATAGAAGACAGTAAAAACATACATACACTAAGTTGAGGCGCCGTTGATCCGCTAGATGCTGGTGGTGAGTTGCTGAACCCAACGAATACATTCTGAAGCCGGATGGGGTGAATGGATTAGGGTGCCCCTCTTGCAGGGGAGAGCAGGGAACTGCCTCGGGAAAGGGGGCCGCTGGTGAATCTATACCACCCTGTAACATCATCATACATGCCGGTCCATCTGTCTCAACCCGAAGAACTGTAACTTTATAAACCCTTGCTTAATTGCGCGAGCGACGAATAAGACCGATGCCCTCTTGCGCCTGGCTGCAGTTTGTTCTGCAAGCGAAAGCGCAACCAAATTTTAGGGAAACATTGATGACGCACCATGGTTGCGTTGACTTCGTGAACGTTCACTTTATTAGCGTAGAAAGGGTCCAATAATGCGTCTCCATTCTTGTTGACACGTAGGGCAATATACAGGTTCTTAGATGTCACATTTGCGTACGTAGGCAGCCAGTCCGGAACCACTCGGAGGTAGTTTCCCTCTGAGGTCAGGTAGGTGGCTGGCAGGGTGAAGCTGAGGACGCTGCCGAGTGGCAAGGTGCTGGAGTCGATGCGGTCGCCCCCCGGTGCAGCAGGTGTAGCCCAGCCCATACGAGAAATCTCGGCGGCGTTGGGGCAGACATCTCCACGACCCATCGCGGTTGAGTAGTCATTGTACTCGACATTGCTTTGCCAGGAGTGCCAAAGACCTTGGCGGGGCCAGGAAGGCACGGGCAGCGCGAGGAGGGGTACGCGTCAGAAAAATGTCAGCGGAAACTAATGTAAATGACCAACAAAAGACCTCTGTTCACTTAGAATCAAGATCCGGATCTTCGTTCTCGGCCGCGATTTGAATATCCAGACAGACAGCAGGTGGGGCCATACCATGTTGTGATGCTTGCAAGTTCCTGAGCTATCGGTTAAACCCGAAAAACCCTAAGTTCCTGAGCTATCCTGTTATTGTATCATCAATCGTTAGAAGAGATACAAAACCTCCCCCCATACACACACAAAAACACACCGTAGTTGTGAAGCGCTTCTTGCATGATGGTGGCCCAGCGCCGCACGCCGTAATCCGAAGTCGCCAGCCAGATCTGCCGTCCAGGCAGTAGTGCCAGCCCCGCCCAGCCGCATGTCACTTGCGGCGGCACGATGTACGCAAAGTGAGTCGCATCGGAGAATGTCCCCAGACCTAACATTGCCTTGGCGCCTGCATCGCCGTCCTGGGAGAGCGACCACCAGCTGCATGTAGTTGGTCCCGTGCTTGTGCAGTTGTTCTTCACGGTGACGACCCGGAAAGCTGTCACATTCAGGTTGAACTTCCCGTACGAGCACTGGGTGTACTTTTGCGCGACTCCACCGCTGCCGTCTCCATCTGGCCCTAGGAAAATGGAGCGTACTTCCGCTTCCGTGACACTGGACGGGTAACCGCAGAAGGAGTAGTCCAGGATGATCACCAGGAGCCGCTGATAGATTGTGGTGTTGGTCGAGGGTGGAATTACGGGGGAAGTCTCCGTAACAGTGACGCTGGTTCCCGGAACCGGATGGCACACTCCGTCGACGATATAGCAAAACTGCGAAGCAGGAGAATGCGGACTGAGGTTGGTTGGCTATCACGTAAAACCAAGCTTAGTTAGTTAACAAGTCGAGCTTATGCATGCAGCCCCGAGCTGCTTTTCGGGGGTTTTGAAGCCGCGTATGCAGCAGAAGGCAGGTAGCTAGCAGCTAGCTGAGGGACGACAGATGGCATTGGGCAGCAGCAGTAGTAATGGCACAACGAACACAGCAAAACGAAGCTAATGCACCAACAGCAATATTAATGGCCGACAGTAGTTCTAGGCATCGGATCAGCAACTGCCCTCTCGCTAGCCCGCTACCTACAACACACATGCAATTAATGAGTTATGAGACGTTGCATCGTAACGCAGCCGCGGCACCGATAACATGCAATATATAGGAATAGCGCCGGTTTGAATGTTTTCGTTGTCGGTTTTAGATCGTGTCCTGGTATACTGGATAGGACCATCCCTTTCCATCGATCGTACTAGGACAAGGTCTATAGACGATCAAAAATTTTACAGACGAGTGATAACGACACGCAGTACCAAGGCGACCCACGCTCGGCTGTGCCCTGGTTACAACCACGCCGCCTGCTGATCAGCAAAAAAGGACTACTCGCGAACGGATGGAACAGGCCACCTTCGTCCAGAATATATTTCTGATGCTTATTACACATATCCCGGCGCAACGAACTCACAATGGAAACATACGCGCCGGGTAGGATACTCTGGCCGTTGACATCCGTCGGAGGGAGCTCGTAGCCGGGGGCGATGGGTGTTGTGGAGCCGTCGCCCTTGCGAATGGCGTATTGCCTCATGTCTGTATGGTCGTCTAAGAAGATGAGGCCGCCAAACACATTCACGGCTGGCGGGGGGCTTCCAGCATCGTTCAATAACCTTCTGTCTCCAGTACCGATCCGAACCCCTTCTGCAAAAGAGTCATCAACGAAGCAGCGCGCCGGTAGGCAGGGAAATGCGTAAGAAAGGGGGCTCCCGGAGCCGATGCGATGAAGGCGAAAAGTGTGGGCTAGCAGGCCTAAGTACTGAGTGGCACGTCGCGACCTGTGTTGCCGCAAGCGCCTTCACATGCAAGCCAGCCAAGGAAGCCATACCTCCGTAAATAAGCTGATTGGTAACGAAAAGTCGATTCCTGGCGGTGCTCCCAGGCTGCTGGCGAGGTATTTCACTTTTTCCGGGTTAAAGTCTTACCTAGCAGATACTAACTGCTAGGTATGCGTCACCGCAGCGGTAGGTTTCTCGTTGCTCGCGCTACTATCGGAACGATTGGGAAAGCCATCGATGGCACTCCGCCGGCGGTGTATCCACTATAGATTTCATATATATAACCGGCGACCAGCGCAAGTAACGTTATGAGCCGTCACTCCATCCTATCCATTAGCAGTAACCCGCCGCCGCAGTCTCATACTAAATAAAAGTGCTCCTACCTCCCGAGAAGGTCAAAAGTGACAACAACAGCAGCACCGGCACCGCAAATAGGCGCCCCATGGCGCCTTTATGTACAAACAGGACAGGCGCCCGAGCGACTCCTCGTAGTTCCTGAGAAACCGAAACAGCCTGCTGGCGGATGTGTGACCCGGAGGCCGAGAGGGAAGCGAATCGTTTTCGAATGATCCCAACCAGTACATAAATGCACGCATTCATCAGCTGAAACCGAACCGAACGGCAAGACTCAATCATTTGTGGCCACACCATGAAAACCCTATTCGTGTTATAACTCGGGACCTTCGGGACACTCACTCAGTCATTATCAGGACCGTACCTGGATCCGAACGAAGCGCGTTATGTAGATTGCTCAAGATTTGAAGAACCGTCCCCTGCGTAGCAATAATAACGCAACCGCGGTCATCTCTAGCTAACAGCATGCGAGGAACGTTTTGCGTGGTCCCCTTGAGACTCGCGGAGCATTCATTCCGTCCATACCAGTGTTATACACACACACACACACAGCGCGTTAGTCCAAACCACCCTGACTGCGTGACCAGCCCTCCGGCGACTGACCTCGTTGACGACGCTATCGTTCGTTGGGGACAGTGAGTCTATTGCAAGGTAGCCGCCCACTTTAACTTGTTCCTTTTATATATATACGCTGCAACTCCCCCCCGGTTTCAGTACGTCACTCTTCCTAGCGGTAGTTGGGCTCGCAATTCGCAGCGGTTGCGCACAGGAACAACTTGCGCACGTTGGCTCTATCTTAGCAACCGCCATACAGTATGGCGTACGGCGGTCCTACCTGCAAACTTTCCAACATCCATGGCGGACCCTCCTTTTCGCGGAACGGAAAAGGGATACAATAAGTTTTTTTCCTGGGTCATACGTACAGAAGGGCATATGTTAAGGAGCCCCTGCACTCAAAAAACCTTTTTATCGATCGTCTATAGACCTGTGTAGATGGAGTCCTAGTACAATACAAAGTTACAGCCACTGTCTAAAATACCGCGGCATGATTCATAGACGATAAAAAAATTGTAGAGACGTGTGCGCCTTATTAGGCAAATGCAATCGCTAGTAGTAGTACTGCTTACGTGCCGCCGCTGTATTGGCATATGTTTTTGTACTCAAGCAGGTTTCGTCGAATCTCCTGTTGCCCCTACCCCCTCGTTACCAGTAATAACGCGAGCCTGATGAAACTGTCGCTGCTGGCACTATAGCAATAGTACATAGTACTACGTAGCCCCAGATAGAGTTATCGACTCATACGCCAATACAGCCAGAGGGTGACGAAGTTCATTTGAGTTAAAATGGGAGTCAAAGTCCCGTACAAGCTGGTCATACGCGTATTCCAAGGCTTAAGGGCGTCTCCGCAATTTATATTGTCAATAGATTATGCTTTGGTGCAGCAGGGATATGGACATCCCTATTTAGATAGGGACCGTCCCTATCTGTGATTATACGTGGACACGACCTATATATAGATGATAAAAAAACTTAGACTGCTGTATTAGCGTGAGACCCCCAAGCAGCTGCAGCGGGGTCATTAGGTTTCATCATACCGCTAGCGGTAACGACCTCGTAATGCTAAAACCGCATTGCATATGCATTCAATCCCGCCATATATATGGGAGTAGATGGAGGACACCAGCATGCTGGTGCACACCCGCTGCCAACGTAGTCCTCGGTCTCATGCGGTGAGCGTGTATGTAGTACTGACGATGCACACACACGCATATGCATGCGTTATGATCAACACATCAGAGCTGTTCCTCAGACGACAGCTAGTCCCAGCCGGCGGTCGTCCCCCTTTTCGACACGTGTCAAGATTCTAAACTATAGCCTTGGTCGGTTCATGGCTCACGGCTGCTGTTGTGGGCTCCAAGGAGAAGCCGGGAAAGCTTAGGGAAAGGGCGGGACGGCACTCTTGGGCCTTACACTGCAGGCAGGGAAGCTCAAAATCTCGCTCTGGGGAACGAACCCAAAGGACAAGCAGTGTCGTGTAACGACCGCGGCAAAAACGCACGAAGGCGCAGTCATCTGACGCGATCCACAGGCCGTCCGTACACACAACCACTCCCACGTACGGGAGAGCAGGGGTGTGCCAGCGGCGCTCAAACCGACCTCCCTGCAGCGGTCGGTCTCCCTTAGCGGTGGACACCTAAACAGCGGCTGGAAGAGCTAACGGCAGGCCTGAAGTGTACGAAGATAACGGGGGGATCCGAGCGCCACGCGGTGAAAGAGAAAGAGGTGTCGGCTGGCCGCAGTCCGCCACCGTGCCTTGTGGTGTGTTATGCATCCGAGCTGCTGCAATCTGGGCCGAGCGGGACTAATCGGGCGGGCACGGGGAATGTCAGAGCAAACGGAGCTCCTGATAGGGCAGGCAGAATGCCGAACTACAAGAGCGAACAGCTGTAAATGGTTGTACGATGTCCCGGTGATCCCGGTGTCACCGGGACCAACCAACTAACTGACAAGCCGACAGGCTGCCATTTAGAACCTAACTTAAAAGCTCTAGTCGCTTCTCTCCTGCCGCGTCTAAATAAGGAAATGTGTGTCCACACACGCACCCAAGCGGTGGGCTCTCCAACTGTACTGCTGCCGGCCCATAACGAACAACAGCCTGCTGATCTATGGATTACTTTAATTGAATAACGCAACTTAAGTATTATTTATCGCGTTAAGAGGAAAAGGGTAGGTAGGTGCGTGTAGGTAGAGCGCCCCGCCCGCAGGTATGCGTGTGTAGACTATGGTGAAGTAAGGACTTGGCGATGTGATGATCAGCAGGCTATTTAAGACCACTGGTATGTGGGCGAAACGAGTACATCCCTAGTAAATTTGGTACAGCAGCAGCAGGTTAAGACGGTTTGAGGGTGCCGAAGTACGCTGCGTACGTGCGAAGAAGGCTAAATAGGTGTTTATATTTTCATTCCTAGTATCGCTGCTGCTGAGAAATCTGAGGACGGCTTCATAAGTATATAGGAGCGCAGGCGTCCAATTAGGACGCTTACTTACTTCAGAATAATGTTGTAGATCAATTGTAGTTATGCATCACCAGTTATACAATAGGGACAAAGGAGCGAGTCCGCTGAAGGTGTGTGTGGAACAGAAACTCGTTTATTGTTGCGCGCGCGCTGACACGCCGGGTGAAGGGGAAGGGCCATGGTAGGTTTTAATGAGCGATTCGTTTAGAGGGCAGATAATAGAAGTTATGGAAGCTGGGCGCAGTTAAGCTGATTTCCACCGCATCCGCCGCAGCTGTGTGTTAGTTGCTCAGTTATATATTGGCAAAGGAGTTTGTATCGCCAACGAAACAACGAAAAACCACTCCTGCCGCCGGTTGCAGCGAGCTGGTAAATCTTACTACTTGCTTGCAACACCGCGCGCACAAAACCCGAAATTCACAGTTTTTTGACAATAAATATTATATGCCTGCCGTGCACAAGCTATGTCCTGCTGGTTCCGGCCGGCCGGGCCTATCCCTGCCTACCCAGCAAATGAAAGCAAGCCTCGCAACAGCTTGCGTTCGTTTTCGCCGAAACAAGATTTCCGTACAAAAAACTTCTTAGGATCGTCGGGACCTGACCAGAGCAGCAGGAATGAGGAGAAAGAAACTCACAGCGGACTATATGAAACGTACGTTGCTAGCTTCCTTGCACCGCCAAAGTCGGTTTCAATGTACTCCTGCAGAAAAGCCAGGATAGGAGAAGAGGTCGCAGCGTGCATGCCAATCGTTGGTTTGAACTTTCCGGCAAGGACGGGAAAACATTGCCAGCAGATGTTTCACCTGCCATCCATGGAGGTGTGCAGGCCCTGCATGTAGTTTCTATCTGGGTTGTGCGTTGTTGTCTTGAGGGGTGATCCTTGTTATCTCTCTTTTGGGGCGTCATTCAACAGCAATGCTCGCTTGGATAGGGCCTAGCAATTGTCTATAACAGTATTGTTCTTTATCTTTGTGTGTGTGCTTGTGTGTTTTACATGGTTGGGGGTGCGTGACCCCATACCTGTAAAACTACCCATACGAGCCGAAGGCCCAAGGGCAATACCAAAACGCCTAAAAGCCACGGAGAAAATTATATATCGCAATAGCAGAAGGGAGCAACTAGCGCCCATAGGGTATAACTGAGTTGTGGCGAGCCCACATATGCTCCAGCATCATCGCCATACATGCTGGCTCCCATTTCATGGCCTCCAACATGCTCTGTTGATTATCGAATCCCCCTTCCGCACGGATACCATTATAGGCTGGGCATTCCAATAACACATCCTCGACTTGGCTATTGGTGTCACAACAGCGGCAAAACCGCTGCTCCCTGGGGACATGGTACTTGCCCCTTCGTGCTCTGTTTGCCTCCAAAGCCCAGCAACATAAACGAAACTGCAAATTATCATACGATGTGCTAAACGAGGAATGAAAACCTTAGCATGTCTTGGCCACATAATGGCTGCGGCTCCCGAAACGGGCAGCCCGGTTGGTCCCATCTGATGGATACTCCTCTGGCAAGACAGTCAGACGCGCACTGTCCCAGCCGCTCACCAAACGCTCCCTTGATGCCGTCATCACCGCTCCTTCGGGGAGAGGCCTACTCAGCAACTAGTCAACACCCCTTTACCCCCACGACGTCGTGCGGTACTCCGCTCCAAACAAGAAGGAAAACAGTCGTAACATTGAGGTTCCCATTCCGCAGGTTGGTCAGAGCATCGGTTATCTCCTGCCGTAAAACTGCATGAGCAATGGACCCCACTTGTTTTTGAAGGCGGTTCCAGAAACGAAGGATCTGTTTCACCTTGTAATATTGTAAGGGGAGTTCAGCCAGCTCCGCATACAACAACCGGTGGGATGGCCGTACCGCCCCCATGAACATAATTTGCAGCTGGACTGCGCTGTCCTTATAACAAGCTTTGAACATGCCCTCCGCAAGGTTGGCATTATCCCGCCGCCTCCCCACGCTGTCGGCGGCATCTGCCAGCGCAAAAGGGCCCCATGCCTGGCAGCCATACTGTTGTGGCCTATGGTTGGTCAATCTAACCAGTATGGTTATGTAATTAACGAATCCCAGCATATCCCAGTTGGATATCGAACGGACGTTCCAACGTTCGAGGCTGAGATCAACTGACAGGTTGTCGGTTGTGTAAAATGTGACAGTCGTCAGTCATACAGTCGCGTCGATCGACCTATCCTATCAAGGAAGGTTAAGAGAAGTCCCGCAGGGCTACGGTCACCAGTTACCGATCGTATATAATTCGGTGCGGATGCCTAGTAGGCATGAGTAGTCTAGCGCTGCTATTACTACTGGTGTCGTGGTCACACCCACCTCGCACCTTTACCACCTAATATGGTCTGTTTTCCGCTGCTACATTTCGCTGTATTTTAATGCGTCTCAACCAGACTCACTACAGATTTGGTATCGAGACCCCATAGATCCATGGGGACAGCGGCAGTCCCTCATTCCGGGCCGCATTGATAGGGAGTGCGAATATTTCGCACGTCTGACTATCTCTCCCATGAACGGGACAGGCGGAACAAACGACCCCGGTGGGTCACTCGACGTCGCTATGGCGTCAGGCTCCTCAGGGAACCCAGCGGGTGAGGCTGGCG